CTGGAATAATGAATCACCTCAGTATGGCTGCATGGGAGGAAGATAGTGACTTGACAAATCTATTGCATTTTGAAGAAATAATAGAATTCATGGACAAAGAGTGCTCAAAAGATGTTATATATTTAGATTTTAGGCCAGATTCTATTTATACCACAGATGAATGATTTGAAAGTGGAGGGAGAAGACAAGCTTGTTCAATGGACATTAAATGGCACTATTCAGAAAGAAATGGGATCTCTTCCGGTGTCCTATCAAAAAATCCCCTAAATAAAGTTGATAATTCGCTCTACAGCTGTTTTTAGGAAATTGCTGTGTGCAAATTGACTGCCTCATTTGCCTACAGAGTAGACAGTCACTGCAATTTACAATAAATCTGTGAAGTGCTTTGAGATGTCCTACTAACGTGAAAGACACTATATCAAATGCAATGATTATTTATTTTTATTTATTTCAATCAATAAAAAAAGGACACAAATTGACCAAATGCAGAGGGATCTGGCCATTTCTACCATTTATCTGCCTTACCCTCAATTCTCAAACATCAATCTAATTTTGTGCCCATGTTAAGATATGCCGACAAGATCCCAAGATTGTTTCAGGTCCATTTGTAGCAGCAGTGTGCTGGAGTGCCAAGTCTAAATGCAGGGCTTGAACTCACAACATTCTGACCCAGAGCACTACTAACTAAGCCAGCTGTACACTGACCTTCGACTTTCAGTTGCTTAAGTTCATGACTCTGGCTCTGGTCATTCTTGAATCATGAAAGAACCTCAGTCGAAGCAAATAGAAAATAACTGCCTTTGTAACCAATCTTCAGGCAATCAAAGGCTAGTTTTTAACATTTTTGGAAGCTTAGAAAAACTTTGCAAGTTTAATCTTTGGAATAATTATAATAAATTGTATTAGTTAAAAATAAAATAAACAAACTGTTAAAATATATGTTAACCTGACTCGGTTGGTAGCATTCTCACCCCTGAGTCAGAAGTTTGTGGGTTCAAGCCCCATAGTCTAGTCTGACACTGGGGAACATTGCATTGTTGGAGGTTAAAGATTCCACAGCACTATTAGAAAAATTAGTTTCTCCCGACGTCCGGATTAACAATCCCCCAGATAAAATTGGTCACTCATCTCATAGTAATTTGTGGGACAATGCTGTGTTCAAATTGGCTGCTGTGAGCCAGATAATAAAACTGGAATATTTATGTTACTGAATTGATTAAACTGCTAATGGCTGCAGATTATTTTTGGGGGGGAGTGAGGTTAGGCCGCACTCAACTCAACTTTAAAAAGTTGTCCCCGCAAACAATGCTTTTCCCCATTGAACTTTCTAGGACCCAAATCGTCAAAACACAATCTGGACCTGATGCCTGTCTTCACAATCACCCAAACAAGTCAGGTAAGTGGATTGCCTCTCTGACCAGGCAAGCCCAGCCTGAGCCTGGTGACCAATCACTCAAGCTAGTCCCATATTCCGGTATCTCTGCTTCTTCTTTGTGAGGGTGGATCAGACTCCTCACAACGAATGTCCTGCAATACTGATCCCAGACAACAGCAGGCCGAAAGCATAGCTCCTGCCAGGAGTTCAGATACTCACTCCACTTGATCTTAGCCAAACGGCCGAGAAGTGATCAACTAATGGCTGCAGATATTTATTCTAACATTTTCAGTAAAAAACAGATAAATTCATAAAGATTTGTTTGCATACTGTGTGTTCAATAGCATGAATCCTATTGTTAAAATCCACTGAACATATAGTCTCATGTACATAGCAAACCAAAGTCTAAACTTACTTCCGTTCGCATGTCTTTCCTATCTATATAGTTGAAGCCTGTAATTAAATCAGCAGGATAACATTTACACACAGCAAACATCAATTTCACATCCAGGAGATACACATGTACTTTAGATGAAATGTTGAACCATCATTTAGATAAAAGAGGTTAAACCTTCAATTCTTTGCTCTTCAAGTGAATGTTAAAGATCCTGTGAAACTATATGAATGAGAAGTGAGTTTCTCCCAGTCATAACAGTCCTTCAGATAAATTGTTCATTCATCTCATGGCCTTTTATGGAATGTACTTGTGTGCAAAATGGCTGTCACATTTTCCTATAAAACAGCCATTGCACTTGACAATAACATGGCTTGCTACCCACTGTTTTCCTGCCTATTGAAACCTCCTTGTGTTTGACTCCCTTAAAATGACTATTATTCTATTATTCTCTTTTTCTTTTTACATATGTTAAAGTATAGTTCATCCATCCCAGAAGATTTACTGGCTTTCAGCTGCTTAAGGCCTTCTGGAACACGTTTCATTAATCTAAGAATGAAATTATATTAATCCTAGAACTCCCAGTAAGTGCTGGGAGATGCTACCCCATGTGAGGGATGCTATATAAATGTAAGTTGTTGTGAAACGTCTCAGCCTATAGCAAATGTTGGATGTTTTGCTGTTCACATCCTCCCCAGTAAAACCTCCAAGTAGTACAGAATTTTATACGTTTACTTATTTCCACTCATACTCATTTTCTTTTCAACTTTTTCAACACAAAAGGAAGAAACAGAGACAATGCACAGAAATACAGACAATCATTATCTGCACTGTTTTGATACTGTATTGTCACTGCTAATTAGTACATTCTATGTATCACACTGTATAAAGACAATCCTTTTCCTTCTCCAGTCCACGGAAAGGGGCGCTTCAGAATAAATAAATAACCTTAATACAGTATATACGTGCATATGCACATCAACCAATACTCCAATGCACAAAAAGTGTAGCAGGCATGCAGCAACCTTCCAAAAAACAATCATACAAAATAAATTGCTTGCAAAGGAATAATAAAGCACAACTTTATTGCCCAGACTTCATTAAAGTTTTGGCTAACAATCTCCGAAATAAAATTGGTCACTCACTCCATGGCTGTTTGTGGGACATGGGCAAACTGGATACCGCATTTGCCCCCAAAATAAAGTCACATCAATTTACAGTATATTCCGTGAAGTGCTTGGAGATGTTGCAATGACATGATAAGGCTCTATATTAAATGCAAGGATTATTATTATATAATTATTGATTACCGCATGAAAATAGCCCAACTGTAGTGTTGTTTATAATCTACGTAAACCTCCAGCTCTCCTATACCTCTCTGTTCCCTTTTCTCCTGTATGAAAAAAAAGCTACAATAATAATCATTCTTGCATTTGATATCATGCCTTATCATGTCAGCGAGGCGTCTCAAACGCTTCATAGGATATGTTGCAAGGTGGGCTGAATGTACATTCAGGCGAAACGCAGCAATTTGCGCACAGCAATGTCCCATAAGTAGCCATGAAGTGAGTGACTCATTTTATCAGGGGGATTTGTTGTCAGGAGACTGGGCGAAGACCCCCATCACCCTTTACGAATTTCTTGCTGTTTCTAAGTAACTCTTGTAGGTGACAATAAGAGTTATCTTTGAGACGTCAAGAAGACGTGAAAAGCACTATGTCAAATGCGAGGATTATTATTATAACAACTCATTTCCGTAACCCCTTTCGGGTAAAATAAGGGTATGGAAGTGTTTGGTTGGTTGGAGGTGAATCCTGGGTCCTGCAGTGGGTGTGTGAGCGTGTTGTTGTGGAGATGTTCAGTGTGTGTGTGAGAGAGATTATTTGGGGGGCTGTTGGGGGGGGGGGGGTGAGAGACTGGGGGGGGCTGCTGGGGGGATGTGAGAGACTTGGGGGGGGCTGCTGGGGTGTGTGTGTGTGAAGGACTATAAGGGGTGTGTGAGAGAGACTATTAGGTGGGGCTGTTGGGGGGGGTGTGAGACTATGGGGGGGGTGAGAGACTATGGGGTGGGGTGTGAGAGACTATTAGGTGTGGCTGTTGGGGGGTGTGAGAGACTGTGGAGTGGGGTGTGAGAGACTATTGGGGGTGTGAGAGACCATGGGGTGGGGTGTGAGAGACTATTGGGGGTGTGAGAGACTATTGGGGGTGTGAGAGACCATGGGGTGGGGTGTGAGAGACTATTGGGGGTGTGAGAGACCATGGGGTGGGGTGTGAGAGACTATTGGGGGTGTGAGAGACTATTGGGGGTGTGAGAGACCATGGGGTGGGGTGTGAGAGACTATTGGGGGTGTGAGAGACCATGGGGTGGGGTGTGAGAGACTATTGGGGGTGTGAGAGACCATGGGTGGGTGGGTGGGGGCACAGGCAGGAGGTGGGGTGTGAGAGACCATGGGTGGGTGGGTGGGTGGGTGGGGGCACAGGCAGGAGGTGGGGTGTGAGAGACCATGGGTGGGTGGGTGGGGGCACAGGCAGGAGGTGGGGTGTGAGAGACCATGGGTGGGTGGGGCACAGGCAGGAGGTGGGGTGTGAGAGACCATGGGGTGGGTGGGTGGGTGGGGGCACAGGCAGGAGGTGGGGTGTGAGAGACCATGGGGTGGGTGGGTGGGTGGGGGCACAGGCAGGAGGTGGGGTGTGAGAGACCATGGGTGGGTGGGTGGGTGGGTGGGGGCACAGGCAGGAGGTGGGGTGTGAGAGACCATGGGTGGGTGGGTGGGGGCACAGGCAGGAGGTGGGGTGTGAGAGACCATGGGTGGGTGGGGGCACAGGCAGGAGGTGGGGTGTGAGAGACCATGGGTGGGGGCACAGGCAGGTGGGGTGTGAGAGACCATGGGGTGGGTGGGTGGGGGCACAGGCAGGAGGTGGGGTGTGAGAGACCATGGGTGGGTGGGTGGGGGCACAGGCAGGAGGTGGGGTGTGAGAGACCATGGGGTGGGGGCACAGGCAGGAGGTGGGGTGTGAGAGACCATGGGTGGGTGGGTGGGTGGGGGCACAGGCAGGAGGTGGGGTGTGGAGGGGCTGCTCCACACTCCAGTGGCTGTGGCGGGTGATTGACAGGGCAGTAGCCCGGCCCCGGCCACCAGCCCAGGCAGCAACTGGCAGACAGGCGGTTTGCCCTCACTCTCCCCTCCCTGAGTGAGTGAGTGAGTGAGTGAGAGTGAGTCCCTCTCTCTCTGTGTCTCCCTCACCGCACAATGCCGGGCAGACCCTCAGCTTTAAGGGCTGTCGCCCTCTTAGCGGCGCTTTCTTCGGTGCTGCAACTGGTTCGGCCGCAGGGACGGGGTGAGTTTGCAAACCCAAAAAAAACAAGTTAAGAAAGTTTGGGGTTTTTTTAAAAAAAAAGAAAGGGCTGTTTTTTTTAAAAAAAATTGATATAATAATAATAATGTGGAGGAGAGAGAGAGGGGGGGGGGGGGAGGGAGGGAGGGAGGGGTTGGGGGGAGAGCAGAAACTCTCTGAAGTATGAGCAGAGCTCCCCCCCACCCCCCAAAAAAAAAGTGTGTGTGGGAGTCTGTGCAGAGACTGAGAGCTTTGCTGCTCAAGCACTTGAATGAGTTTTTAATTCCAAAGCAGAAAACAAAAAAGACCAAACTTAACTGGGGACTGAGTCAGGGAGAGAGAGAGAGAGTGAGAGAGAGAGTGAGTGAGAGAGAGTGAGAGAGAGAGAGAGAGTGAGAGAGAGAGAGAGTGTGAGTGAGAGTGAGAGAGAGAGTGAGAGAGAGAGAGAGAGAGTGAGTGAGAGAGAGAGAGTGTGAGAGAGTGAGAGAGTGAGTGAGAGAATGAGTGAGAGTGAGAGAGAGAGTGAGAGAGAGAGTGAGTGAGAGAATGAGTGAGAGAGTGTGAGAGAGTGAGTGAGAGAGAGAGTGAGAGAGAGTGAGAGAGTGAGTGAGAGTGAGTGAGAGTGAGTGAGAGAGAGTGAGAGAGTGAGAGAGAGAGAGAGAGAGAATGAGTGAGAGAGAGAGAGAATGAGTGGGAGAGAGTGAACTCCTGTCCTGACACATTGTATCTCAGCAAACCGTGGGTTACAGGAGTCACGATGTGGCTGTGAGTGAGTTACTTTGTGGCGAGTGCTTTTCTATTCTCTTCCCCCTCCCTTGTTCAAATTTCATCCCCCCCCCCCTTTATTTTATTATTTTATTTGTTGGCTGAGCACTCGCTGAGTTTCTTCTCCCCACCCCTCCAGGTGGGGATAAAGATAAGCCATAAGCACTGCTTTCTCTCCAAACTCCCACAAATATACAGTCAATTCACTTTACAGTGTGTTCTGTGAAGCGCTTTGGGACGTCCTCCTGACGTGAAAAGCGCTATATCAAATGCAAGGATTATTATTATTATTATTATTAAACTGACTTTTAACACGGGATGGGTTTTTTTATATATGGTTTCAATGGTTTCCAGCCCAGGAGTAAATCCTCTCGAAGAAGGCTCGACAATTCTCGTGCCGCCTCCTTCTACCTCACTATAAAGGTATCATAAATAATCCTTGCGTTTGATATAGCGTCTTGCAAGTCGGGCGGCTGTAGCAAAGCAATCCACACAATATACCGTGGAGTAGAGTTTGCTGACAAATACACAGTGAATACACTTTGTAGTAAAGGCTGTGAAGTCCTTTGAGATGACCTCTTGACATGAAAGGCTCTATGTCAAATTCAAGTACTATATTATAATAGTGACTGTATTTTGTAAGTGAACACGACAGTCAATTTGTGTATAGCAATGTCCACAAACAGCCATGAAGTGAATGATTCAAAGTGATGTGCTGTATCAAGTGATGTTTTTAGAAAAGGAGATTTTCCCACGCCTACACATTTATAATAAGTACTGTGTGTGGTGTGGAAATGCGAACAGTAAATGTTGGAGATTCTTAGCAGGTTAATTGGTATTTGAAGAAGAAAATGTGATAACGTTCGGTGTAATATTGTTAAGATTAAGAGTTAAAAAACGTACAATGGTGGATGTTGAAGATCTCATGGCACCTTTTGAAAAGAGAAGGGAGTTTCTCCCGGTGTCCCAGCCAGCAATACTCAGAAAAAAATGGTCATTCACTTCATGGCTGTTTGTGGGACATTGCTGTGTGCAAATTAACTGCTTTCGGCTACAAAAGGCACAGTTATTTACAGTGAATCTGCTGAAGTGCTTTGAGACATCCTCCAGAAGTGAAAGGTGGTATATCAAATGCAAGTATTATACGTGATATGAATGGAGTGGCTCACTTTTAATGTTCACTTATGTTGCTGTTGAGTGATGGCAGGACAGAGTTCTGTGCACGTGTATCCAAGCACATGTATGGAGCTCAGTTTACCAGTGTCATTTCTGATAATTGCAAAGAGCTGAAAAGATAGTTAGCTCTTTTTAGTCACAGGAATTAGAGAGGCGGTGCAGTCGGCTGAAACAACTGGCAGCAGTATCACATTGCTTATGGTATGTGGTCACCTTTTCTAAGCAGTGTCTTGTAATTCTGAATGCCATTGAATGTCAGATTGGTAGATAACCGTCTAGCATCAGGGAGATCTCCAGTGTAATATGGATACAAATATTCCCACTAGTTAACAGAAATAAAAGGGTTGACCCCCTTTGTAATATGGTTGTTTTGGATCCAAAAGCTCAGATTCTTGCATTAAAACAATGCGAGAAAATGTCCACCTTTTGGGTCATAAGTTTGCTGCTGATGTCACTTTCTATGCTCACAGGAACAGACGCTGACATTACTTTCTTTGCAAAGTGAAAGGGTGGCTGATTTTTAGCGCAGGAAGCTGGACAGACAGTGCTGGAAGCGGGTGTGCAGAGCCTCTGGTATTAAACCATTCCACAGTGCACGTGCAATGTAAGCACACTCTTGCTGAACCAGGATATTTTATAATGGAGTCACCATGCTGTAACAATACACAATACTTTGGTTACAAACTGGGGGGTGGGGGGAAGTGCCTAATACCTTTGTTTTGACTCTTCATCAGAATTCAAAGGCAATTGACTGGCTTTTCAGTTGTAGCATCATTCTGCCTCGTTCTTCTTTATCCATCTTTAAATCCCACCTAAAGACCTACCTCTTTGACTGCACCTATGCTCCCCCCCTCCCCACCTTGCTCGGTGCACCACTGTATAGTGGACTGAGACATTATTCTATGTAAAGGATGCTATGTAAATGCAACTTGTTGTTTTCTGTTTATTTTGGATCTACAATATTCAATATTTGTTTTAGCTCTACCATACTACAAAAAAATACACAAAAGTGAAGTCCTCTTTAGTTGTTGCGCCTCTGGTGTCTGATGCAGAGCACGTGTTCCTACTAGGTTATATTTTTGGAGAAATTATTGATAATTTTAAGGGGCTGCTCTTTTCTTAATGTTGGCATCTAATAAAATCAACAATTTACACATGTATATATCGGCTTTGATATTGGGAGGACATCTGAAAACACTTCATTCACGCAGATTATTGAGAGCCTGAGTTTGAGGTGGGGGATAGAAAGTAACCAAAAGAATCATTGAAAAGATGGGTGAAAGGCAAGGAGGGAAGGTATGAGTCAGTGGGACTCGGGATGGAATTGCAGATTGCAGGGCACAATGGCTAAAAGGTCCCCCACTGATGTCAGACCTCAGGCGCTGACAGCATCACCATCCATGGTTGCACACTCCACCTTGCTAAGTCAGTCTGGAACCTTGGGGTCTTGTTTACCCTCAACTGTCCTTTCTACCCCACATCTGCACCATGACCTGCTCTACCTTCCTCCACCTCCGCAACGTTGCCCGGCTCCGCTACCGTCTCATACCGCAGGCTGCCGAAACCCTCATACATGCTTTCATTACATTGACGTTTGATTATACAAACTCACCGCTTGTCGGCCTCCCCAACTTCTCCCTCCACAGGCTGCAGATCATCTAGAACTCTGCAGCCCGTGTCCTCTCCCACACCAGGCTCCATGACCCTATCACCCCCATCCTTGCCCAACTCCACTGGCTTCCCATCACACAGAGGATACAAGATCCTGGTCCTCACCTTCAAAGCCCTCCATGGTCTTCCTCCCCACCCCTACCTCTGCGACTTCCTAGCTCCTTACCATCCTGCTCGCTCCCTCCGCTCAGCTGGCTCCAGTCTGCTTCACGTCCCCCGTCTCGCTCGCCCCACTATTGGCGGGCCAGCCTTCCGCTGCTCTGCCCCCACCCTCTGGAACTCCATCCCGCAGTCCCTCCGTCTCACCCTCTCCCTTGCCACCTTCAAGACCCATTTCAAGACCCTCCTCTTTGATTGTGCTTTTGATCTCCCTGCTTCTCCACCCTCCCCAACCCCAACTCAGGTCCGTAACTCTGTCTGTCCAGCAACTTGGGACATCCTCCCAACGTGAAAGGTGCTTTACAAATGTAATTTTGTTGTTGTTGTTGTCAGGGTTGCTCAGACATGTGAAGAAGGCTGGTGATAGCTGGAGGGAGTGACCGAGTTGGTAGAGGGGTGGAAGTTGCAAAGGAAGGGTGTGACGAGGTCAAAGAGGGATTTGAGTGCGAGGACGAGAATCTTGAATTGGACCCACTTGGGGATGGGGAACCAATGGAGCTGTGAGAGGATCAGTGTGATAAGATCGTAACAATATCAACTTTGTCAGGAATTATGAAAATTGCATTTAATAATAATACTTGCATTTGTTATAGCGCCTTATCACATTGTTGAGACATCTCAAACCGCTTCACAGAATACACTGGAAAGTTCACTGTATGTGTGAAGGCGACAGGTCTTGTGAAAATTATTTATTTAATGAGAGAGTAATTATTATTGTCAATAAAGCTGCTATTCCCAGAATGGTATTAATTTCTACTTCTTCATTAGGGCCTATAATATCTGCTAATGCCCAGCATATATTTCCATCACCTCAATTTATTCCCACTCTGTGATTTCCCCCTCTTATGAAGGTGTCGGATCACAATGCTAGGTTCACAGTTCCAGAAAAGCTGAATTGAGAATTTGTATTTGTTATGAATTCTATCTCCTATCTTAATTAAAACTCGCTGAAATATTAATTCTCCTTATTTGCTTGCTATATATTTGGAAACCTGGGTTTACAACAGTTCACACAGCTTTAGACTATCTTAATATGTGAGGTTGACCTTATTACAGCTGTGATATATCCCCTGATGATGATTTATTTTGCAGTTGATTAGAAATAGTGGTCTGCAGCTATAATTATTTTTCATCAATTATAAAATTGTGATGTTTGTCAACTATGAACATAGATTGAAACTTGGAGTGAGGATTACACAAAGAAATTAGAGTGATGATTAGCAAAGCTATTC